CGAGCAGCAGTGTAAGGGAGCAGGGGACGTGGCGGTGACGTCTCGGTACTTGTGACTCTAATTGAATGTAATTGCCACCTCGAAATTTTACTAAAACCTTTTCAAAGTCCCCTGAAATTAAGGAACACGGATAACGCCGCTCCTTGGGGTTTTCAGCTCGCCTCATCCCTAAGAAGCGCGATTAATTTTTTACAAGCTAATCATATCTCTTCGGCAGGTTGTCAGCCGCGGATCTGTCGTCTCTCATCAATAATGAAACAACCTGAGCAGCTCTTTACCTCTCCAGTCTCCTGCATTATTCACTGCCAGGTCCTCAAACAATGGGGTGTGTGGTAGAGGGGGGGGGTGCCAGGGATTTAATTGGTGTCCTTTGTAATTACCTGTAGGAAGGTGGATGGGGTGGTAGGGCTGGTAGGTGAAGGATGAGAGGGGTAAGAGGTGAAGGTGAGGTCCAGCATGGTATGGGAGGTTCTCTTTGGACCATGGCTTTGGTGAGGTGGCAGCTCGCCATGTCCTTCACCTTGAGGGCACTTTGGGAAACTAGGCATCATTTCTGGCCAAATGGAGGAGAGACTCCTGTGTCCTCTCAGGCATCACTTTGGCTGCGCTGGTGCTGAGAAGGTCCCATCCTATCGCCTGATTCATCACCATGGGAAAGAGCTAAGCATCCCAAATGCAGTCAGAGGGATGGATTTGGGATGCAGGACCTCCAAGCCCACTAGTCCTCTCCCAGCTGCTGGATGGGATGGGATCATCATTCTTGAGATGGCACCAAGCAGAGCCAGTTGATGGTGGCACTGCCTCTCTAATGGTCCTCATTTCCATGGTTCTGGGCTAAAATCTCCATATTTGCATTTAAATAGAGATTTGGGTGTCTGTAAATCCCCATTTTTGAAGCGAGAAGGTCTAATGGTTGTTTAATCACATTGGGATGAGGCCCCTGGAGCATCTCCAATCCAGTGAGGAGAGGGAGAAGTATCCATGTCATGGTGAGGGAGGGGTTCGCCTGTGCCTGCTCAGCAGCATGGGGGAAACTGAGTCACAAAGATATCCCTAAAAAAATTAAAATATCTTAAAAAAAAACAAAACAAACCAGGTTCCCTCCTTGCCCAGGGAGGTGCTGGTCAGGCAGAGGGAGAGAGAGCGGCTCAGGCAGTTGATCCGAAGGGATCTGGCTGCTCGGACGCTGTTGGAAGCGGAGCCGTTGATCCTCCTCCATCCCAGCCAGCCCCAGTCTGTCCCCGCGCTGCTGCCAACCCAAATTATCACGTACGGGAAGAAACTCCTGAGCCGTCGCCTGTTTGTTCAGCTCCTTTGAGGCTGGGAAATCGCTTGCAGCGAGGTTGGCAACAGAGCGTGGTAGGGACTGAAGCTGCTTAATAATAATTAATCATAATAGTAATAATAATGCTTAGCACTCGTCCAGGGCTTTGGAAAGATGAAGCGCTGCATGGCTGCTGGCTAATCCTTTAGGATTAAGAGTTCCTGGAGGAAAAGGGGAGGGGAGAACCACATCCTCAAGCTCATCTTTCCCCTCATCCACTCCCCAGGGATCCTGGCGTGGAACCCGATGCTCTCAGGCCACCGTGGGGAGGGCAAACAGCCGGGAAAACCGCTGGCATCCCTCAGCACCAGGCAGGATTGAGGTAAAACCACCTGTTTTTTTGCAAAGAGCCATCCCAC